ATGTCTTACCCTCAGCTCACAGTCCTCTCTCACAGTCCTCTCTTCCTGCCCTACCCATCAGGGCTAGCTGATGGGTCACTAGCCCTGGAATGCCAGCTAATGAGAGGGGTGCTTCTAGCCTGATGGGTAGCCTGGGAAATGTGTCAGAATGGAAGCTTCAAGTTATTCATCTTGAGAGTCTGCACACTGTCTGAAAACAAGTGACTGTTTACATCATTTTTGGAATTTTTCACTTGAAAGAAATTATATGACCATTTGGGAACCTCTTTGGTGAGCTAAGGTGACAGATCAACACATCTGTGATCTGTCCACAAACTGTTATGCGGGTGATATGCACTTTGAGAGCTGTACTTTCTTTTTTTTTATTTAAACAGGGTGGAAAAAGCAGACAAGAAAAACAAAAAGCAAAAGAGACCAAAAAAAAAAAAAACCCAAAAACTCCAAACAATAACAATATAGGCTTTCAAAACAAGATGATAGGTATTTAACAATGGCTGTTAATTGCATATTGCTATCTTCAAAACAGTTGCTTAGATTACCAGATATAGACAGGAAAAAATAACTGGGATAGGGAAAAGGAGAAAAGAAGGAAGAGGAAAGAAAAAAAATATAAATTCGGATATATATATATATACAAGATAGCTAAGCTGATTATACTATTAACTCTATTAGTTTTCAGAAAAGAACAGCTAATACTCATAAGACTAGGTAAATTTTGAATGTCTAAACTTTACTTTCAAAATCACCCTACTTGTTAAGAAATTAATTGTTTATGTTCTCCCAAAATCACATGTTGAAACTCTAACCTCCCATCTCTGGAGATGGTATATAAAAGATGGCAATTTTGGAAAGTGATTTAGTTCATGAAGGCATAGCTTTATGATTAAGATTATTGTCCTTACAAAGAAGTCCTTGGAAAGCCATTTCACCTCTCTAGCACATGAAGAACCACTGAGAAGCCAGGAAGCAAGCTCTCACCAAACACTGTCTGCCTTAATTGTAGACTTCTAGCTTTTAGATCTGTAAGAAAATATTTGTTGTCTATACCACCCACTTCACGGTGTGTTTGTTGTAACAGCTTGATTAGACTAAGACAACATCCAACTATCTGCAGCAGGAAAAAAAAGAATTTTAAGTCCAAGTACAAATTAAGCAGACATATATATGGATTACTTTTCAAGGAGAAAAATCCATGTGTGTGTGTAAAAGCTTCAATCAATTTTCTGAGTGTTTTCCTTCAGATAGGCTTATTAGCATTTTATTTATTATATTTAGTTTTTCCATCTCTTTCATGCAGTTTTATGAGGAAGGAGGAGGAAACTTCCTCTTGGGTCTTCTGAAACACTGTACCCATTTATCCACTTGTCCTTTTGTTGGGAAGTGCCTCTGGGACACCAGGCAGTGTGCTGTTGTTCTCTTAATTCGCCTCATCTGGTAAGCACAGCAAACATTTTTCAGAATGAGAGAGGCCCTTTGCCAAGTCTGATCTCAGACCTGGCTGTGTCCAGATTGTATCACAGGCTTTGTCCAGATTGTGGTTTGGGATACTTGAAATGACCATCTTGGTTTTGGACGGAGAGAGGAGTTGCTATCATAAATACATGCGGCTCCCTCATGAGACAGACTTGTGCAATCTATTTTTACTTGGCTCTTATTTCTATATACCTGGGTATACCCAGGAATAGCAACAATTTAACTCTTTAATTCTCCCAGGCAGTTTATTTTAGTAGGCTATTTAATTCTGATCATGGTCATCAAATACTCATCTAGGGGAATGTCTGGACTCAAATTTCTTAATTTGTGTAGTGTTCAAGATGCATAGCTATATTTTAGTGTTTAGGAAGTCAGTGGTTTTCTAAAAAAGAAGGCACAAGACTAAATTTTCATATATATATATATATCTTTAAATATATATATTACTAAAAATGTGATAGCTTCTGAAGTAATAATAATCATAACAACAGCAAATTAATGATCAATGCTACGTCTCAATGGGTCCATCTATGTTTCAGAAAATATTCTATTTATCTGAGTTACTCATCCTTTACAAAGTTCTAGTATAGTAGCTAGTCGAATTTTCTTCATTTTTAAATTTTAAAACAAAGAATAAAAATGATGATACAAAATTTCCAAATAAAACAATAGTAGATAAACACTGGTTAATATATTGCGTACTGTTATCTTCAAAGTAATTGTTCCAATTACAAGACAGAACATTGAAAAAAATGATCCAACCATCAAACAATGAAGGCAGAAACTGTTCTTTCTGATGAACTAACAGAGATTAATAGCACCTAGGATTAGAGGTATTTAATGACCTTTTCAAGGTTATAGAACAAATATGTGGTAGATAAAGATTTTGATAGGAATAGAAATATTCTCCTTATGCAGTTTTATGAAAGAATGAAATTCTGACACACGCTTTCACACAGATGAACTTGAACACAGCGTGGTAAATGAGATAGGCCAGGCACAACAAGCAAACTGTGTGATTCCATTGACATGAGGCACTTTGAGTAGTCAAATTCACAGAGACAGAAAGTAATATGGCTATTGCCAGGGGCTGGGGCAGAGAAAAATGGGAATATGGAAAGTTCTAGAGATGTATGGAGGTAGTGGTTGCTCAATAATGTGAATGTTCTAGCTGTTTCTTTACTATACAATTAAGAAATGGTTCAAATGTAATGTTTAGGTCTATTTTGCCACAATTAGTTACTTGGAAAAATGAGATGAAAAAAGCATTAAAGAATGAGTCTCTCTGAGAGAGTGAAAGTTTAAACAAGAACCAAAATGTATAATAAACACTGTGAAACTGGAAGTAATTGTTCAAAGGGAAAGGGAAGTTGTGGAAGGGAGATGGAGGAAAAAGAAAACAATGAAAAAAAGATAAAATGGGAACAAGGCTTTGTGAATAAGAAGAGGAAGAAGGGTTGAACAGAAGGTGGGGGAATGAGAGAAAAAGAGGAACCAAGATATATCATGTACAGGAATAAATTCCCTATGATGAATGTGATCATTATGCATATCTAAACTGTATCAATAAATTTAATTATTTAAAAAAGAGATGAGTGTGAACAAAACAGTGCACCTTCAAATAGGGTATTAGTCATACGTTTTCATTCAAATCAGTGAATTCAAAAATTGTAAGTTAACAATGAGAGTGACACTGTCTTCGGAGAGAAGAGTCCTTTTCTCTGTTCAGTACAGCATCCTTTGACCTGTTAGGGTTTTCTTTCGTGTTCTCCTGGGGTCTTGCAGGAGAAGGAAAAGACAGTGCTAACTCTCACATCTTTACTATTAGTTTTGCTTTTTCTTTGTCTCCTTTCAGGTAAGCATCTACTTTCCCAGGACCTCAGGAAAGTGGAGGCATTGGTAGCTTTTCATGTTTGCTGCTGAAGTTGACATTCTTTTTGTCTATCACAGAACTGGCAGCTGCCCATTTGCCAGAGGTAGCTTTTGGGTTTCCATGGGTGTACTCTCCCCTCCCTGTACCTTCCTAACTCCTACCCTCTTGGGGAAAGTGTCCGGGTCTTAGGGTTTGACAGTTGGCATGTGGTTAAGGACAAACAAAATGATGTGAACCCCACCCCTACTGGCCCTCACAGCACAAATTGCAGACTCAGAATGATCAACACTTTTCAACAAAATACCGAATTAAAGTTTGAAGAGGGGAAAATGTGAAATGTGAAACTGAGAGGTTTGGGGTTTACCAATAGCCAGACAAAGCTTCTGCCAAATCCCTCAAAAAGGTTGTGGCTGTGCTGTGTTGTAGGTCTCCCACTGTCACCACAAACACTCTCCTAAACCAGCAAAGAGATTCCGAGCTCCAGGCTGCTAAACACCCTCCTTTTGCTGGGCGAAGTTTTTTCTTTAAGACGTATTTAGCCATTTGAGATAAAAAGATTGTACTTGGAAAATTTTAATCACCAGCACCAGCTAATGTTCTGTATTCAGTTAGTAAAACCATTACTCAGGTCTTTAGAAAACATGAAACGGTTGCCGTGTGAGTTCGCTCTGTGGCTTCACCCCAACCTGCACTGGAGTGAGTGCATTTTACCGAGAGACATTTGACAAACTTGTGCCACAGGTGCTACCACCCCATCAAAACTCCTTATTGTTACTGGGCTTATGAACCGTGAAAAACTGGTGACGAATATACCAGTGGCACACGTGGCTTTCTAAGGAATGTAGAATTAAGGAAGTGAATTATCTGTGTGTATTTTACAAATAAGCAGAGAACCACATAAAACCTATTGCCAAAAAGTCAATAAGGATCAGTCCTTAGGGCAAATAAATTAGATTATATTTTTTAAAATTAAAGGTTAGTCATGGTCAACTGTGGAAGATGTCACTTACAAAGAATGTTAGTAGACCTTTGGCCTAGCGATGGGCATATTAGGCTTTCAATTCTGTGTTAAAAAATCTTTGACCACTTCAATGATGTCTCTGGTAAGGTTCTTCCCCTCACAAATCCAAAGAGGTTCACATACTCTGATCAAGTTGTTTCTAATCCATTTTCTTCTGTGGAATTAATTTAAGAATAACCTGCTTATTTTTGTTTTGGTTGTTTTCTGTGTCTAACATTCCTGTCCATCTCTTGCTTCCTCATCCTTTGCCTCTTTTTCCATTTTTCAAATTCAATGGTGGAAGAAAGCTGTTAACTTCATCTCCAAGACTCCTACCTAGAGATCTGAAAAATGGAAGCCTTAGGTCTGTGGAGGGCTTAGGTCTGTGGGGTATACTGAGAAAAAGAAAACAACAGTAACAACAACAACAACTCTCTGGATTTCTTATAGGTTCTATCACTTTCGGTAAGCATGGCTTCTGGTTTTAGTCTATACAATGGTAGTAATAAAAATCGGGTTAGGGATAAGGCCTCCTCATGTGGAATTACTATTGATTAAGAGAGATATAGCATGTACAAGCAATTAGTATAGCATGAAAGTATATTAAATACTTAACAATTCATGTTCTACCTTCTGTGGCAATGTTTTTCCTAGGAAAAGGAATTCTACATTGCTGTAGGGTGCTCCACAGCAGGGGTCTCTAACCTCCTGGCCACAGATCAGTATTGGTCCATGGCTCATTAGGAACCAAGCTGCACAACAGGAGGTGAGTAGGGGGCAAGTGAGGGGAGCTTTGCCTGTATTTACAGCTGATCACCATTGCTGGCATTACTGCCTGAGCTCTATCTCCTACAAGGTCAGCCGAGGTTCTCATAAGAACAGCCACCCCGCTGTGAACTGCATGCAACAGCTCTAGGGCGCCTACTCCTTTGAATTATACTAACCCCACTTCATTCCCCAGTGGAATGATTGTCTTTTGTAAACCTGTCTCTGGTTCTAAAGACTGAGGACTGCTGCTCTGTAGCACTGAGAGTTGCGCTTAGAATATACTAAAATTCGGGTATAACCAAAATGTTCTTTCTGTTTGCATCAGGAATGGAAAGTATGTGTCAAAGGCAGAGAACAGAGATTACTCAGAAGGTGGAGAGAAATGATTCTCAGGCACTTGCACCACAGCCTGCCTTCTTGTCTCAGTCCCAGGAGAAAGCACTTCCTCTGGAGGGACACTACTGTGTGATTTGATCTTTTCTTCTTGAGGATATTTATCCTTTTGTGAAGGTTTCATACTTCAGTTTGTATTTCCAAAAGCCTGGATCTTTCTAGTTCTTGTATCTGCTTCCAAGTGGTATTTTAAAGATTGGAATCTTTAACCCTAACCCCAAAGAACTTTCTCTGACTCTAGTCAAGAAAAAATAAAAAGAAGAATTAGAATGGACCACTGAGTTATCAGTGTGCTGATGTTTGATGAAGAACTTGAATCTAACGAGCCTCTGTGGGTGTTGTGCCCAGTGGGTCTGGAGCCTAAGAGGTCCCCAGACTCAGCCTGGCTAAGGCTTGTCTCTATCAGATTTAGAAAGAGGAAAAAGAGTCAGAGAACACCAGTGCAAAGTGAAAGTAATTTTAGGATATGTATTGCAAGACAGGATAAAAGCCATCCGGGGAAGGAATGAGATGATTCGAGCTGGGACAGAGCTGAATCTAGGGCCCTTGTCCTGTGTTATAGGCAGGATCCCATCTCCAGCCCCAAGGGGTAACACCTGATTGACTGGATAGTAGGCTTGTTGGTAGGGATTTGGTCTTGCGGGCTAATAGGGGAATTTGGGTAGGCATGACAACCTGCACCAGGAGGGACAGTGGCAGGTGTCAAAACCACAAGCTGCCAGCTTCAAACCACAAAGCTGCTTAAAAACTGCTTTCTCCTCATAGCTGCCCAGAGGCTGCTTTTCCTACCCAATGAGATGAAAGGGCTTTGGGTCTTTAACTCTCCCCAGGGGTCCCTTCTGTCCCTGCAGTGGGCTTCCTTTCTTGGCTCAAGTGTGGCTGGGTGGAAAGCCAGGTGGGCCAGCTGTGGGACTCAGGAGTGTGAGCTGTCAGTGAGAAGGGACCAGGCCAGCGGCCTGTGGTGCTGCTTCAGCCCTGCCTATCCAGTTCCGTTTGTAGTTTGCCTCGTAAAGTGATACTCTTATTTTTAATAAAATGACTTTTTATTTCAAAACTAACAGAGTAAAAACAAGATAAGATTCATAGTTTAACTTGATTGTTTCGGCAAAGACACACTCAACACAACAGTGTCTAATCAGACTATCACTTGGAGCGAATTGGAATTACACGCCGCATAACCAAATGTTCTGCTTTGCCTGTGTACACAAGTGAAAGGGTAAAAGATAGCATCTTTTAAGGCATTTGGAGCTGCTGCTTACAGGCACTATTTGGACATGTTTTCAAATACTTTTCATTTTATTTGCTACCACAACCTTACTTTCAAAGATATTTTGGGAGCAACGTGACCACAAGCTCACAGATACTGAAGAAGGTATTTTTCCTCCAGTCACGTCTGAAGCTCTTTTGCTTTATGTGTGAGAATAACATGCCTGAGTATGTTACATTTTATTTACATATCATTTTTATCCTTCTAAGTGGAATGGTTACTTTTTAGCTTTATAAATCTGCATGAATTTTTAAACAGTTTTAGTTTTCTATCTGTGATAATTATTTTAAAACATTGTGTTGGGATGAATCACGTATTTCCTGTTAAATTTGCTGCAACATTGTTTTAAGTAGATTTTTATTTATTCATTCAGTTTTCAAGAATGAATTAAAAATATAGGTGAATAATAGGTGCCTTGATTTTAGATTCTTGACTTTTTTCTGCACGCAATGTAATATTCTTAATTAAGATTTTGGTGCTTTTGGTGCAGTGAGTGTTTATAAATTGACCTTTTAAAGTAATGGTATTTCATATATATGGTATTTCATATATATATATATGAAAAGTGGTCAAAGATTTCTTCTGATGTGTAGTGCTAATAAGCCAAGACCCTGCTTTAAACTTCAGGAAGCTATGATATTCATCTTTTGACCACCATTCATGAATTAGAGCAGAGAAAATAAATAAGAACCATAGTTTATTATATAGAATCAGAAAATAGCCAAAATAGCAAAAGCAACAAAAATAAAAGCATCATAATCCTGGATTCCAAGTTGTTCTACAAATCTACAGTGATTAAAAATGGCATAGTAGTGGGCTGGGGATTTAACGCAGCGGCATAAGTACCTGCCTGGCAAAGGTGAGTTTGGGAATTAGATTTCAGGTACCATAAAAAAAAGAAAAGAAAAGAAGAAAGAATGAAAGAAAGAAAGAAAGGAAGAAAGAAAGAAAGAAAGAAAGAAAGAAAGAAAGAAAGAAAGAAAGAAAAAGAAAGGCATTGTACTGGCACACAAACAGATTTTTGATCCATAGCACAACACCGAGGATGCAGTAACAACTCCAGGCACTTGCAACCATCTTATCTTCAAAAAAAGGATGAAAACATGATGGAGAAAAGATAGTCTCTTTAATAGAAAGTTCTGGAATACTGGTTATTCCAGAAGAATGAATTTAGATCCATATTGCTTGCCCTTACTAAAATCACATCAAAATGGATCAACAGCTTATATATAAAAATAGAAATACTGAATCTGCTGAAAGAAAAACATGACAAAAAAACCTGAAGGCATAGGCATATGGAAGGATTTTCTGAAAATTACCCCAGCTGAGCAAGAAATAACACCAACAACCAACAAAGTGTGTCAACATCAAATTAAAACCTTCTTCAAAGCAAAGGAAACAAACAGCAATGAAGAGATCATCAAAAGAATGGGGAAAATGTGGCAGTTACTCCTCAGACAAAGAACTCAAATGTAGACTACATAAGTCACTCAAAATAATTAAGATTCCCAAAAAACAAAAGACGCAATTAGAAAATGGGCAAGTGAAATGAATGGACAATTCTTAGAAGAAGTGCAAGTGGTCAGCAGGTAAATGGAAAAATTCTGGCATCTTTGATCGTTAGAGAACTGCAGATCAAGACAATACTGAACTTCCATTTTACTCCAGAAAGAATGCCTGTCATCATGGAGTCAACCCAGCAAATGGTGGCAAGCTTGTGGGGAAAAAGAAATCCTTCTTGATTGTTAAATGTTCTACTGGTTTAAAACTAGTTCAGCCACTATAAAAATCAGTATGGTGATTCAACAAAAAATAAAGAAGAAATTTTATCCAGATATCTGTTCTGGATATCTCCCCAAAAGAATAAAAGAAGACATTATATTACAATGATTCCATGTTTATAGCAGCACAATTCATAATCACTAAATCTTGGAAGTAGTCCATATCAACAGAGGAATGGATAAAGAAAATGTGGGCTATAATATATATATATATTACACATTATGTGGAGATATATATATATGTATAGTTCTGTATATGTATGTTCTATCCAGCCATAATGAAGGATAAATTTGAGTTGATTGCAGGCAATGGATGCACCTTGAGTGTATAATGCTAAGTGAGCTAAATGAGTTCTTGTCTATGAGAGATGCAAAGTACAAATAATATAAAAAGTGAATGAGAAGGTATATGACAGGAAACATGGGGATAGACTATGGAGCTAGGACGAGGATTTGCAGGTGAGGGGAGATGTGTGAGAGGCAAGGCGAAGTAAATAAACTCAAGATGTGATGTGCATTTGTACCAGCTCCTCACAGTGAATACACTTATTGTGTGGTACAAACATTAATAATAAAAGCTTTTTAAAAGCTACCAAACTACAATAGCTCATTCAGTGGTAACATCAGGCTCTATTCTAGGTAAATTAATATTTGAATTGTATTTGAATTTGTAAGAGTTCTACCACTTGTGTATTATTATTTATCTTTACTGTACTTATTTAGGAAAATTGGGGTTTGGGGAAGATTTATTTAATTTCTCTCTTCCTCCCCTTTGCCCAATTCTATGTGGAATTTAAAACCATGTTTCAGAGTAACATGCTTAATGTTCCCTCCTAAAAGTGCTGAGTCACTTGGCAGTGAGACTTACAGAACTTCAAACCCTATACATACTCATCCCTTTCACTGATACACTATGGAATCAAGGGATGTGTTTTCCCCCAGTTCCCAATGATTGTGGAAATTCTATGAGTTCTCCAAACATGGTTTCTTGCCAATCAGAGAACAACTGATCACTCTATAGCAGGACAGCTGGATTCTTGAGGTCCTGAAGTCAGCATGAGGACTCCTTGACCCATGTAGGGAGCTCGAGAGACACATCAAGCTCTGGAAATGGTTGAGGTGAGCTTTCTGCCCTTGATTGTCTTGAGCATGTTGAAGTGTTTCCTGAGTTATGTTAAACGTTCCAGGAAAGCTCAGCAATTTCTTGAACACTCTCTCCTTATGTGTATTTCATTTTCTTAAGGCAGCTAGAAAGATCCTTTTTTATTATCGGTATTCAGACTATCAGGAGGACGAGTGCAGTTTGAGAAGAAAGCGGTTGCAGGGTACTTGCTGTCCTTGGAGGAAACATTTCCATTCCTGGTAATGGTGAGGGAATGCATTAGCATCAGATTTGGAAGCATTAAGAACTGTGATAGCCAGTGATGAACTGAAGATCACATGTTCCACCTAAGAGATGGATTGCTCCTCCCTGTTGTTGGAATCTTTGATTTTTCAAAGTCATAAATTCATACTTTTAAAATGATCATCATAATTTTTGAATAGTAGGCTTATTTTTTAAAGTACTGTATTCATCAAACAAAATAGGCCCAGGCTGAATCAGGCTCTGAAGCATAAACTAACATGACAAGTACCTAGCAAATATTTCTTAATTATCTTTGTGAAAGAAAACATGAGTCTGTCTATACTTCCCATATCTCACACCCATTAAATTCTTCCACTGAATTGGAAATAATGAAATGAAAAAGACATCTTGAGTTATTTAGGAAACTGACCTGTGTGGGTGCAAAAGGAGAGTTCTATTTAAGATGGAATGGAGCCTCAGATTATTCTTTCAAAATTAAACTTCATAATAGTTGAATCATAAGTGCTTTACACTCTAAAACATTCTGTCAGTTATAAAAAGTGAACCCAGAGTTTATGAGGGCTACACTGGTGCAGAACCCCAATGGTGCAAAAAATAACAAATGTGATTATATCAAATTAAAAAGCTTCTGCCCAGCAAACGAAACAAACAGCGGAGTGAAGAGAAAAAATACAAAGTGCAAAACAAAATTTTGCAGCTGCTGCTTGGACAGAGGACTAACACCTAGAATGTAGGGGACCACCCAGATGCCTCTCCTTGAATGAAGAGCAGTTACCTCCATTTTGACTATACCTGGCCCCGTCTCCACATACTGATATGTACAGAGCTGGCTAGCCCATTTCTTTATCCCTTAAACTGGTTTTAAGCAATGTAAATAGGGCTGGCTGAGGTGCTGATGTGTAATCTTTGAAGTTCCACTTTCCGTGACTCCCAAAAAACAGGGTTGAACCGGGTGAGATGAAAAACCGCCGCTGCACAGCTGTCAACTGGGATTGAGCCTTGAGGTAAGAGGCTATGATTTCTCAGGGAAGAAAAATAAACACATCAGAGCTGAAGCACAAACCCCAAAATGTGAGCTTTAACCTCAAGTGTGTTACGCAGGTAAGTCTTTCTCCATATCCTTCTCTCTGCATCTTGCAGAGGTGATTTCAGGTCTCTGCACAGTGTTACCACATTTCCCATCATTCTCACAGCCACTCCCTTCTTTACAAATTAATAAAACTCAGATTGGACCCTGAGTCGAGGCCTTTGTTCTGATGAACCTTCATCCTGGCTGGAGTTAGGACCCCTGGGCTCCCCATAACGATCAATATGTCTTAGTGTCTTTATTCTCACGGTGGGTTGCACGGAAACTGGTAGATTGGAATTAACTTATTGAAATTTCAATAACTTTTCCATAGGATAACAAATATAAACTTCCCAACTGAGAGGAGGAACAAGAAGAGCTCTCTATGTACAATATATAAAGAACTAAACGAAATTAACCCCTCAATAAAAGACCCAATGAAAAAAGAGGCAACCAAAATGAATAGACACCTCTGAGTGGACATACAGATGACCAATAAATACATGGGACAAATGGTCAATATCATTGGCCATTAGAGATATGCAAATTAAAACAGTATTGAGATTCTTTCTCACTCCAGAAAGAATTATTATCATCAGGGAATTAGAATACAAATGCTGTTGAGGATGTGTGGAGAAGGAACCCTTCCTTCTACACTGTTGGTGGGAATATAAACTAGTACAACCATTGTGGAAATCAGTGTGGAGATTTCTAAAAAATTCCAAAAACAAAAATATAAGAGAAGCCATGCAATGTGCTGGTTGGAGTCATCGCTGCCCATCTCATGGCTGCCCGACCCACAGGCCCCTTCCATTCTAGATGCTCTCTGCTGCTCTTTGTCACTCCCAGCACACAGGAATGTTCTTCATGACAGGAGTCCCTGTGCCCATTACCTCAGCCCACTGCAGACAGCTGGTGGTCAGTTCTGGAAAACTGCCAGGATGCGGGGACTAAGGTGCAGGTCTGCCTCTTGCAGGATACCATTTTCCTCTATTTTTACTTTAGTGACCCAATGCCTGTGTTCCTCAGCATTTTTCAAGCGTGTGTGGTATTTTCTTCCAGCCCTCTCCTCTGCAATGAACTTAGGCTCTTGGAGAAACAATTGAGAATGTTCAGATTTTATTGCAGCTCTGTCTCGTCTTAGTGCAAGATCAAAGCCTGCTATTGGATTGATTAGAGAAAAGGGGAAATTTCAGAGAGAACAAACACTAATGTATCATTTTCCAGCCTCACACATCCTAGTTGGCACAAAGAATTTGAGCATTGGTTTTCATGTTCACACTTTGGACATGAGAGGTCCAGAAGGGACCCAGTTTTGGGTTACTGATAGTTCATGCAGGTCATGGGAAGCCCAATTGGCTGGATTCTCTCTAGTCCATGGTTCCCGGCTCTGCTCCTTACCGTGTAGCTCTCTGTCCATTGCATCTTTTACTTGTAGCTGTAACTATGCCTTGATACTAAATGGACAACTTGCACACAAGTTGTCAGATGGGTTTATCCTCAAACCATGCTCTCTACTGACCTTACTATACCTGAAGAGGAATTGATGACCTCTGCTGAACCACCTGGGCATTTCACTCAGTTCAGAACAAAGACTGATAGGTCCAGCTACTAACCCCAAAAGTTGTCCTTTTCCGACTGAATCCTTGGCTGTTATTGCTTAGCACAAATGTTCTATTCTCTGACACAAATGGGCCATCACCTTGTCCTTGGCAAAAGCCACTGGCATTTGCTCATGTAGCTTCTTTTCTCCTGGAACCGTTTTCCATTTTCCAGGATGACAATTATTTTCCTCTTTTTAGAGAGGTATGCTTTTTTTAAAAAAAGAAAAGCAAGATAGGGTCACAATATTTGTTAATATAATTACTCACTTTCTCGTTTTACCAAGTAGCTTGCTTGGTCAATGACTGAAAAAAAAATTAATCAGTGGAATTTCTACCTTCAATGTGGAGACCTGTTGAAAAGTGGTACTTGGACACTTCTATTTGGATGTGAGTCTGTGGCCTATTGGCCTCTTGCAAGCAGTTCGCTCCTGGCTTTCTGTATTATATAACACCAAAGCGGAAGAAGTCTTCTGTCGCATTCAAGGTTTCATTCCTTTTATATTTTTCCCCTTTCTCTCACTTGGCACATGCTGTATTGCTTTCCTGAAGCTGTTTACAATGTAGAAGATTAATGTCTCTCATGGGCGGATTCCTGCTTCTTTCCCCATGAATTGCATGAGAACACTGCATCTGGTGGAACTGGTCAAAGGAAGGAGCAAGTCTAGTGCCCTGAGAAGAATGAGGGCATGGCAGTTAATCCTGCGGTGTCAGAACAAAGCAAACACAAGGCTCCTTGGCTTCCTCTGGGGTTCAGTGTCACAGTCAACTTGTCGTTTCCTGATTTTGGCAGACCCTGAACCCAGGACAAGCCTATATTATGTTTATTTGTTTCTACAGCTTTATGGTTGCCTCCTGCATAGAACAATGAGTACTGAAGAGGCTGGATGTGTCACCAGTCACATGGCGTCCTTGTGCACTTCTGGAGTGGAAATGGACCAATTCTTCTGGAATGCTTTTCTGTCTGAGGAGCCACCTATTTGTAAATGTTTCCCTAGAGCTTCCGTTTAATCAGGGGCTCATTTCCCAGAGTCCAAGTGTGCATAAAACATGGATTGTAGGCCGGGGAACCCAGAGAAGGTAAACAAAGAAACTGTTTTTCAATGCACAAGAATTTGGATTGAAGAGTTACATGGTCTTTAAAATACAAACATAAATAAAGGAGTTTTTATTTAAGAGTTGACTTAATACCAGTAAGTGGATAATAATATGACAGAAAAATAAAACACATGGTTGAATATTTCAGATTTTATTTTTCTCATTTATTCATTTATCAGCGGATGTTGCTTGAATCAGAGGATGTTGTTGAATCAGAAAATATTGTTTGAATATTTGCTATCTGCTAGTCATGTTGACTGCAAGGGTGAATTGACTGACAGACAACAGCTGTCAAACATATTTTGGTTTAGTTTTATGTTCTGTAGATCTTCACTGAGATTTTAAAAATGTTTAAGTAATATAAAATAGTCATTGGAAAAAACAGAATAGTGAATCACATGAAGAAGTAGAATTACCTCCTCCCTATTTCTCTAGAGTTAGACTTATTGATAATTTGAAGATTATTCCCTCAATTCAGTCTCAATACATTTTCTATATATTAACAATGTTTCACAATATTTTACAGAAATAGAATGAGATTACACAAACTTTTCTGGAAGAATTTTTACTTACTAGTGTTTTGTGAAATTTCTATGCTAGTACATTGTGATTTTCCATATAATTTCGGAATCTAATGGAACATGTTAGCATGTGAATGACTGAAATTTATTAAACCTGTTGTCTATTGAAGACCATTTAGGTTTGTTTTGTCCATTGCTGTTACTTCATTTCTTTAAATTTATAAAGACTAGAATAAACTTCCTTGCATTTGTCTGTGCATACAGTCTTAATATTATTAAACTACAGAGTAATGTGCATATTTTAAATTTTGACAACTATCTTCTTAAAATTTACATTGATATTGATGTGTGAGCATTCTTAGCTTTAAAATATCCAGTAATCCCTGCTATGAAAGACTAATAACTAAACTCTTTTACATACTTCTTCCCATTCTCTTTCCAATGCACATTTTTAAAAAATTCAGTTCTTGTATTACCTAATTTTATTAGGTAATTCACCATTTTCATGGCTTACTATTTCTTAGACATTTATATTAGATAGGATCTTCTTTCTCCAATATGTAGGAAACAAATTAATACTCCTCAATTTGCCTGTATGCTAATTCTTGCATTTTCTTAAAGCCCTTATATTTGAGCTCTCTGCTGTCTTTTAGACTGAATTTGAAGTTCAAAAGTCAATAACTAGAATTTCTACTACTTTAACTATAAAAAATCACTATTCAGAGCTGAGCCACTAATTCTGTAGACGTTAGGGTGTTTCACGGTATTTTAGCCATGCCATACGAAGGACAATATTGTAAGCCTGAGTGTAAAAAGATGCTATTTTCTCTCATTTCATTAACACAACCTTCAAGAACAGTTTTTTTCCCCCTCTTCCTTCTAGAATTTCTAGTTGCCTTTCTTTTGTTTTGAATAAGTAATAACTATTCATTTATATTTTTCCTAATACTTCTCTATTAATTTCCTGGAATTTATCTGTGGAGTATTACATTATATTCAGATTTCCTACTTTAGGGTCTTTTAAAAAATAAATTAACAATATTTTTAATAGGAAAAAAAAGAATGGAAACAAAGTTTTTGTAAACAGGGAGGAGAAAAGGGTTGAAGGGAGGGGAGGGGACTGAGGAAAAAAGAAGAGTCAAGAAATATTATGTACAGGTACAAATTCCTTATGAATGTGATCATTATGTTTATCTAAAATGTACCAATAAAATTAATTTAAAAATACATATATCAAAATATATTATTCATTTTCCTATGTGTTAAATTTATGTGAACTGTTGAATAGTGATTCTTTTAAATTCATCTTTGATTATCCTTCCCTTCAAAATTTTACTTGCTTATGTTTATCTTATTACTTAAGCAAACTTACTGTTAATGTACATCTCAAAGACTGTCTTGAATTTATTTTCTCTATCTGTCTGTCTGTCTGTCTCTCGTCTTCCTCTCTCCTCTGTAGGGATTAACTAATCCAGGACCTTTGCAGTGAGTTACACCTCTAGCCCTTTTTTAGTTTTTATTTTGAGATAGAATCTCACCAAGTCACTTAAATTCCCTTACTGAACCTGAACTTGGAATTATCCTGCTCAGACCTCTAGAACCCCTGAAATTATAGGCTCCACCATGTCTGATATATTTTTCAGATGCTCTTGTTTTTCCTTTTATCCATTTTCTGTTTTGTCTTTATTATCTCTTATTTTTTCTTGAAATTTTATGGTTGTTATTTTTCTAACACTTGCATCCACATGGCATGAAGGGTGTTTGTGATATTATGATCACATATGAAACACACATTAGATCTTTAACCCCAGTTTCTGGTAAAGAATTATTAAAAAGGTTATATTTTTCTGAGTAATTGGGGTGCAAGTGTATCTTTTATTTTCTACCATATGCTGTTTGGCTCAGGTTACACACACAGAACTCTTTATCTCTTGAAACCACCTACGTGATAACCATGCCTCCCCTACTTTATCCTTTTCTTTTTGTAGTTCTAGAGAGTGAGCCCAGGACATTTCCACTGAGCTGCATTTCTAGTCCTCTGCATTTTGGGATAATGTCTAGGTAAACTGCTAAATTGGCCTAGGCTGGACTCAAGCTAGTGAACTTCCTGCCTGAGTCTCCCAGAGTGCTGGGATTACAGGCATGCACACTACAAGGGTGTCTTTCATCTTAATGAGGTGTCCTTTGGTAGACTCTAAATTGGGAGTTAGAGACAGGAGAGACAAACAAGGATTATAACTTCAGCCTTACCTCGCAGCCTCCAGGATGATTGGACTAGAGGTTGAGATAATAATATATATCACGTCTATGTAATGAGCCATAAAACTCCCCAAATAGCTTTGACATTTTGAGAGCTTCTGGGATGCTGAACTCAGGGAGGTGTTGAGAAGACTAAGCACTTGCAGAACGCGTGGAAGGGTCTGACCTGCCCACATCCTTTGCCCTATACCTCTCTTCAAGTTGGTGTTTATTTGTATGTTTTTAATGTCCTTTAAATAAATGGACACATATGCTTTCTTCTGTTCTTTGATCTGCTCTAGCAAAAAGGAGATCGTAGCAGTCTTACTGTGTAGCTAGCTGCTCAGTCAGAAGCACAAGAAATAACTCAGAGCATTTGATGTGGAAGCAGATTTGTGGTTTGAGTCTTTAACCTGTGATCTGATTCTAACTCCAGGAAGATAGGAGCAGAGTGCAGTTGACATCCAGCAGCTATCTGCCAAATATTGCTTTTTTGTGTGTCTTACAGAATCCAGATTGGCCTATAGACCTAGGAGGAGAAAGAAAAAGAATTGCCCTGAAAATGCTACGTAGCTTGACAGAGTTCAGTTTTGGAAGATAAAGTCTTCAATAAGAAACTGATGATTAATGACTTGTGAATGTACAAGATACCGGTGTCTAGAGACACAGGACACTTTTCTCACCCCAAACACCTTCTACTCCACCAGGATGTTCACTGAAAAGCGAGGCCACCTTCAGGAGTTTTCCCTCTGAAACATGTCACCCTCTTAGATAACTCTTACCTTTCTTCTGTCAACCCTTGCTCATTCCTCTATCTATTGCCTTTGATTTGAAAATTACATAATTTTGTACTATTTAATGCTTCTTCATGATGTCAACTCAAAAAGTCTTCATCTCTTACCAGCTGTATCAATTAAAATTTTTTTCAAGAAACACACAGAATGGTGCCCTGAAAACAGGCAAAGCAAGGGGATATGTGCTGGGGATGACAGTTTAGAAGTTTAGCCCTGGTAACAGGAGTAGTTCTGTTGCTACCTCTAGGCCTAAGGTGATGGGAAAGATAGAGGCTACTAGGTCCCAGAGACAGAGAGCTGTGGGGGGAGGCATCTCACAGGAACAGTGCTCTTAGATCAGGACAAAGGCATTGCTCCCTGGGCCTCCAAAGAGGAAGCTAGGTGAATAAATACCCTGAATTCCTGCTCCTTTTCAAATTCCTGTCCATACTTCCTGTGGTCTGAACCCAATAGAGAGAGAGAAATCAAGAGTGACTATTGAGGTCATCTCTGAATGAAAACTTGCGAAGCAGAGAGAAAGTGGAGGACAGAGATGGGTATCAGGGAACAGGCAGAGGCTGGCACAGCCTTCCCCTCACCGAGAACCCACTCTAATCCTCCCTGGAGAGCCTGAGAAGCCCAACTGCCCAATCTGTTCTGAATAACTCTGGAACTTGCTTAACACTCACTGCCTGACATTTTTTTGTGAAAAGATTTTTCTTAATAAATTAAAAAATTATAATAGAAATATTTAAACTTTTTACTTTTGTGTATGCTTGAGCAAGGTGTTTTCAGTGAACTCATCTATTTCATTCTATGTCATTCAATTTATTGCATAAAGTTGTGTATAATATCCCTTTTTATCTTTTTCATTGTGTGTGAGATCTGTACTGGTGTAGTCCTGTTTATTTCTGACAGTGGTTTAAGTGAGTTTTTCCATATTACTTACTCAGTCTTGCTAGATCTTTCTCAATTTCATTAGTATTTTTGAAGAACCAGCTTTTGGACTTGTCGCTTTTTCTACTACGTGTTTTTTATTTCATCAATATCTTATTTTTCTATTTCCTATTTTTCTACCTAAAATGCTCTTCTTTATCTAGCTTTTTAATGTGAGAATTTAAATCATTACTCAAAAATCGCTCTTCTTTTCCAACACTGAAGGTCAGAAACTTTCCTCTAAGCCTTGTCTGCATAATACAAATTTTTGTATTTCACATTTTAATTATTATCCAATTTTACGTGTTTTCTAATGTGGCTTGTGATTTCCTTGTTGGCCTATGAATTAGTATTAGTGTGCTATTCAAGTTCAAAATATTTGAGAATTCAATAGAAATTTTATTAGAATTGATTTATGACTTGATTTGACTGTAGTTTCTAAACATATACAGTATGATTTCAATTATTTGAAGTCTACTAATTATTTGAAGTCTGCCATCATGCTTTGATGGGGCAGCATATTTCTTACCCTGGTGATTGTTACATATGTTCTCAGAGAGAACGGTAGTCTGCTTTTTGGTGTACAACATTTTATAAATCTCTTTTAGGTCAAAAAGCTTGATAGTATTGTTAATAAGTTAAATATCTTTAAGGTTTTTCTCCCTTAACTATTCTTTCAACTGTTAACATATAGATATTAAAATGTTCAAGTGGAATAAGTGATTTATGTCATTTTTCTTTCATGGTATTTGTTTTTACTTCATGTGTTTTGATAGTCACTTACTAGGTATACGGACAATTACAATTATTATATTTTCTTGAGAAGTTGACTCCAGGGCTGATACCAAGAGAATTCCAGCTCTCTGGGAGTGAAAATCTCCAGAACACATCTGCCTAGAAATAGGGTGACATAGCTATAGCACAAGCTGGAAAATTCAAGTTCCTTTTAGCAGAGGGCTTCATGCTTTGTAGTATGCAGCAGGACACTGAAAAGACTTTTCTGACAGTGAAGAGTGTCATGGAGGTCAAGCTCTTGCTTTGAATTTCTAGTTTGAACTTGATGGTTTTTCCTATAAAATATTTGTTCATTAAATAGAAATATATACGTGTTTATATATTTATCTCCTGTTATATGGGCACATATGTTACACCCACATTTGTAATGTACTATTTTTAATAAATTTTCTACTTCAAAGAAGACTATGAACTTTTTCCTCAAACGAAACAGAGGCAGCAGAGAAGGGGACCACCCCAGCTGTTGCTGAGGAAAATCACACAGTTGCCCTTTCTATGAGGCAAGGTGATTGTAGACGGTAAAGAATATCAAGACTCAGTCTCAGACTCATTTGACTGACTGACTAAAATTAGTGTCTTCTTAAATCATGTATATTTACCTTATATTAAGTTTCATAGACAAGTTATAGAACAATAAACTAATTGATTCCTGTAGGAAACTGAGGAATGGAAGGCTGATCTCTCTGGCTCACTTTACAAGACAGTAGGTATTAGAGAAGTGAAAGGGTTTAGCTGAGATCACACACACAACAAAGGCAGAATTTTAAAAAGAAAAGATGTTTTCTCACTTTTTTCTACTTTATTGTACTAACTTTTAGACAACCAAAATCTTGAATTCTTCACCTTTACTACAAAATAAACAAAAAGCAAGAAAACAGAAACCACACCAGTTGCTTGGAAAAGGAAATGTAATATGAAGAATTAGCAGATTATGTTAGGAAAAGACACAAAGAAATTCTTACCATTATTTAGTGGCAACCTAGAAAGAAACTACCTTCCAAGGCTTATGGAAAAGTGGACAGGAGAAAGCTCAGATGCTGGGGAAGAGATGCATTGTAACAGAGTCAACACATTGCTGTTTTTTGGCTTGTGAGTTCTTTGATATGGTAGATGCAATGTTTCTTATTAGCATATAGTTGTGATAAATCATAATCACATTCATCTTGAAGAGTTGGTGTGTATACATATTGAGTATTGATCCTGTTTTATCTCCCTTCTCCCAGTCCTCCTACCTCCTCCTATTCCCTGATTCCCTTCCCATTTCCACAGTCTATCTTCCAGTCCCATTATCTCTCTTTTGTTTTTTGAGGCAAGTCTTGCTATGTAATTAATATTGGCCTTGAACTTGCTGTATCCTTTTGCCTTAGCCTCCTGAGTGTTGGGATGGTAGGTGGATGCCACCACACCCAGATGAATTTTGCTCTTCAAATTATTTATAATTTAGATTTCTGATACAAGAGAAATCATGCAATATTTACTTTTCTGTGTCTGACTTCACTTGACATTATGGTGCATCTATTCTTCTGCCAATGACTCAAGTTTATCCTTCTTTATAGCTGAGTCATACTGCATTGGCACTTGGTACTTAATATGGCATTCTGGAAGCAATTTTATGTTGATGTTTCCTGAATGTGCTATGTGAGGGAATAGGTAAGATATTTGTCCTTGAAGAGTATTTTTAAAAAATGAGTAATGAAAATAATTGCCACAGCTTTAAGCTGTGTGACATCTATAGCCAGAAGAACCTGGCTGTCACCTCATGGAGGCTTGTTGACCCCAGCAGTTGCTGACTACTCTGCAAAGTTCTAGACTTCTTTCTCTGGAGACAAAAAGATGCGAATTCTTTTAAGTAAGTTGTCATTTCTAAACAAA